GGAATACAATAAACTGCACATATTTTAAGTATACAGTCATCATATGTCCACACCTGTGAAATCATCACCACAATGAACATAATGAGCATATCAATCACACCCCAAAGATTCCGTGTGTCCCTTTGTATTTCTTCTTCCTGCTTCTTCCCACCCTCTTCCTATCCCCAAGCAACTACTTATCTGTGTTCTGTTATTATAGACAAGTTTACATTTTTAGAACTTTATATAAATAAAATCACATGATATATACTCTTGGTTTTCTGACATTTTTATCCACAAAAAACTATTTTGAGATTCATCCATATAGTTGTATGCATCAATTATGAATTCCTTTTTATTAGTGAATACTATTTCATCATAATGGATATACCATAAATTGCTTGTCTGCTTACCTGACGATGGAGTTTGTTTTCAGTTTTGACTATTACAAATCAAATTGCTATGAGCTTTCATGTCCAAGTCTTTGTGAGTATGTTTGTTCCCATATTTAATGCCCAAGAGTAGAATGGCTGGATCATGTAGCAGGAATTCGTTTAAGTTTTTAAGAAACTGCCAACCTGTTTTACAAGGTGGTAGTACCATTTTACATCCCCACTCGTGGTTACAAGAGTTCTAGTTCCTCCACATTCTCACCAAAACTTGGTATAGTCATTCTTTTTCATTTTAGCCAATTAACTTTAGTCATTTAATAAGAAATATGTGGTAATATCAGGATAAACTATCACTGTTCAATGTTCAATGTCTTTAAAACCATTACTCCTTATATCTATATCTATCTAATCTATCTATCTATATATATGTGTGTGTGTGTATATATATATGTGTGTGTATATATATATGTGTGTGTGTATATATATATATATATATATATATATATATATATATANACACACACATGTTTTGTTTTATTTCGTTTTTTATCTATTTCATGTTGGAAAGTAAGCCAGCATTCTGTTATTCCATCTTTGCCAGAAATCTCCTTCAACTTGTAGCAAAGACAAGAAAACATTCCATGAGAGAAAAATAAGACAATGAAGTCAACAGACAAATTAAAAACAAATTTTTACTCATCAACACTGTATTTTAATAATGGCTGTATCTCAATTCAGCTGAGAATTTGCTCTCCTGGTGAAGACAATTAATAGTATCAGAGTTCTCTTAGCAAATTCCTCAATATCTATACTCCTTGGCCAGAGACGATTTCTTTTCAGTCACTCATACAACAGTACAAGTTAGAATCTCAATGAGGAACACCCTTGCATACAGAAAGTGGAGGCTGGCCCCTACTCAGAGAAACCTTCCCTGATCACTCAAATTAAAGTAGCCCTCCAGTAATTCTATTTTGTATCACCATGGTTTTGTGTTTTGTATTTTACTTACATTACTAGATATTTTCTTGTTAATCTGCTTTTGTTGTTGTTGTTATTATTATCTGTCTCCCTGAACTAGAATTCTCTCCATGAAAGCATGTACTTTTCTGTCTTATGCAGAGTTTATTTCCTATAGCCAGAATAATATCTGGCCCATTGCAATTACTCAATAAAATATGTTAAAAGACTATTTTCTGGCTCTGGCCTTGGAGCTACTGTTGCTCCAAAAGAAAGTGCTCTAAAAGAAAAATAAACTTATAAAAATGTTGTATCACAACATAGCTCCATGTTTACTCATATCTACTATGGACGAAAAAGGGGTTCTACTAAAAGTAACCTCACAGGGTGATCTGATCATAAATTCTTAACTGGCAGGTCATGGTGGGTAGTCATGGCCCAGGCCTGTAACTTCTTTAGTGAATGGTTTTTAAACCAGCCCTATCCATTGTTCTTATGCATCTAGGTTAACAAACCCTTGAAATGCCAGAAGTAATACCCCTTGAAGGTGTAGCCACCCTCCAGAGAGCACATAATCATAACTCTCCTGTAATCCAGTCCCCACCTGGCTTTCCCCCACCTTCATGCAATCCCTTAAATTCCCTCCTAATTCCCAGTATATAAAAAAACTGCAAACTGTTATCTTCGAAGCATTTGAGATATTGCTTCCCAGCAATGATGTCAGTTTGGCTTAAATAAACTCATAAAAATTCTCTACAGGTTTGGATGTTTCTTACGTGGACACTACACTCTTTATGACTTTATTGCTCGTGTTACCTGCGAACCTTTCCTGAAATCACCTTATCTGATTCTTTTCTGTCAGTTACTGTTCTTATTGCTTCACATTTCCTGTTCTGGAATTTGTTTTGTCCTGGCACTTAAAGTTATCATCATACTCTACCCCCCCCCACCCCCATGTGTCAAACCCATGGAGCAAGAAAAATAACCTCTTTCTTTGAGTTTATTATTTCTGTAAACAATCATTGCACTACATGTTTTGTTTTGGTTTTTTCCCCCTTTTACTCCCCACATCCTAATCCTGAATCCCAACATTCTTTCTTTACAGTTCTATACATGAAAATACCTTTTCACTAACTTGGCTTCCTGTTCAGTTTAAGCCAAGCTTTTGGAAAAATGCCTTTACTGGACTCTAAATGAGAATTGCCCAGCTGAGCCTAGTAACATCATAAAACTATGGGAGGTAATACATTGTTGGCTTAAGACACTACATTTTAGGAGTGGTTTGTTATTCATCAAATAGATAATAAAACAGAAATTTGTTCCTGTATGTGAGGTGTTTTTGTAACAAAAACCTAAATAAAATATGTAACATTGACTTTGGGACTGGACAGTGAGCAGAATATTGATAGGTCATGGGGAACCTGTTTTCAAACTCTTGAAGGACAATGAGGAAGTGATTATTGTAGGGTGGATGAAAGAGGGTGTGAGTTATGTATGACAGAACAATTAGTAACACCATCCCCTGAGTAAGTATGAAAAACTGTCTAGACGGAGTACATGTGGCTTTGCTAAGATTTCCAGGCAGAATGTTGAAAGCAATAACTGGCTTCTTATAGTACCTATAATAAAAATAGAAGAAGAATGAGTTGAACTTAAAAAGGAATCATCAAGTTTTGTATTGGAATTTAGTGGAAATAGGGTCCACGACAGTCTTTCTGGGTAGCAAAAGGTTCTCAAAGTAAGAAATGATCTCAGAACAAAAAATCACATCCATGGCACTACCAGCAAAACTTGGTGTCAGGATAAAGATGAAGTCAAGGATGTGGTCATAAGATCCTTTGTTGACATCTAAGATTAAAATGTGTATGTCTCATAGACCTCATAGGTTGAAAATAGGCTTTTAAGAATATTAAGGGCATGTCTCAGACTTTATCTGCTAGACAAAAAGCTTATAAGCATCTCAAAGTATCCTGATGCTCATTCCAAAGGAGAATGTGGTCTGTCCTGAAGACGTTTATGGGTGTGGCTTTTGACTCATGGAGGGAGCACCAATAATAATCACAGAAAACTTATACTGTTTTTTAAGAACATTGTGTCGGCAAAAATAAAACAAAAACAAAACCAACCAACCAAACACAAAAAAACCACCCACCTACTTGGTTTCAATGTTTCTAAAATACAGAAATACAATTTATTTTCATGTATCGACCTCATAATCCAGCAACCACGTTCAGTTTACATATTCATTCTAATTGTTTTTAGATTCTTTGGGATTTTCTATGTTGTTAATTTAAGAAATGTCCAAACCTATAGAGAATTTTAATAAAAATTTATTTGAGCCAAACAGAGGATATATACCTGGAAGTGAGATCTCAACAGACTGAGATAAATGCTTCAAAGAATAGCAGTTTGCAATTTCTTTTATGCATTTGAGATTAAGGAGGGAATTGAGGAAGATTATGTGAAGGGATTACAGAATAGTTAAGATTATGTGCTCTCTTGGGGATGGTCACATAGAGATTGGACTACAGTGTGGTTAAGATTATGTGATTTTTTTGAGGATGGTTATGGCTTACTGCAAAGGTGTGTTAATCTAGATGCACAGAAACAATGGACGGGGCTGGCTTAAGGCAAAGATAAACCTTTTACTAAAAAGTTCTATGCTGAGCGTGTGACTACTCACTATGACCTGCCCAGTTAGGAATTTATGATCAGATCACCCTGTAGGTCACTTTTCATAGATCCCCCTTTTTCATCTACAATGTGTAGGATCATTCTAAATTTCATTTCTGCTGTCTTTCTCCTTTAGTTGTTTCTTACATAGTAGACCTCTACTTTTTTGTGTTTTGTTCAATTAAAATGCTGCTCATTTACTTGTTGGTATACATGTCTTTAAATGGTTATACAAACAAACACAAAAGATTCAACTATGGTTTATTGAAGTAACTGGAAACTTCATGATAAAATCTAATTGAATCCTGAAGGTAATAATGTGACAAAAACTAGGAATGACTCAGACAAGTGTTATTTAGGTCACCAAAAACTTCCTGTGAACATGAAAACTGTAGATATCTCTTATCTGGCTTGGGTTACCTGATTCCCCATGTTATCTGTCCTAAAGTACTGTCTGTGACATTTACCTTAGTCACAGATTTATCTGTCAGTTCCTAGAAATGTATTATTTTTAAAAATTCCCTTCCTCTCCTCTTCCCAAAATGCAATACTAGCTACTTCCTCTATGGTGCATTAATATTAACAAGTTTAATTTTCCCAATCATTTTCACAATGATGTAATCCATTGTAGCCACTAAAATTCTTTCCTTATTTAGGCCAAAGGAGATTTGATTAACGTTAGTTACATGCCGATAGCTTGAAAGCTTTGTATGTAAACTATTCTGAGTAACAAGTGGAGGAACTATTTTATAATATGTTATCAGTGAAATTTAGATAACATCATTGTTACAGTAGACTTTGGCTTATGGGTTATGGTGTAAAAATTACTCTTGTGAAAATTGCAAAAGGTATATATATGTTCCTCTAGTTGGAATGTTAGTTCAGTAATTCTAAGATTTCATTGCCAATGAGCTAGGATAAAAATCAAGGACCATTCTTGCTCTGCACTTTGTGTGAAGTTAATTTTTAGTAAAGAATTTTTTATTAATTTGATGAAAGATGTCATCCCGGAACCAGTCAAGTAGTCTTCATAAATTCAAGGAGATTCTTTTTTCTACTATGTCTTCAGAAGAACTTCTAAATTCCCTGGATTCCTTCAGTGCAAGAGAAGATGATGTGTTTCTGGTTTCCTATCCAAAATCTGGTAAAGTTTATTTTAATGTATTTTTAAAAGTAGAAATACAACAAAAATAATAAATACAATAATAATTTTTACCAAACATTTGTTTTTTAGAATTTTTAAAGGAAATTAAAGTAACCTAAATGCTTATTTTAATGAAAAATTTTGATAGTAGAAAGCCAAAAAATATGCTTTGAGAAAATTCAACTGTAGAAATTAGAGCTTTACTACACTATTGTTTCTACTTTATTCATGAAGACATACAAATGCCGATATATGTAATAAGCATAACGTCTATAGCATAAAGTTTTCTTCCTATTTGGTGAGGTGATAAATAGTGTTTGTTCAATTTAGACTTAATGATTAATTTATAAATTAATAATTTTTTCTTCTGGGCTAATCAAAATCAAATATTTTTATTGTTAAAGTTTATACCTTATTATTCAAAGTTTATTTCCATATATAGGTATATACTCATGAAAGGACCATTATTATGAATGTCATACTGTGAATAATTAGAATTAAACATATATTAGTTTTGATTCTGTGAAGTGACCGGGATATATCATATCCAATTGCCTTATGCTGATTCCAGAATAGTGGATGTGTGGAGATGACCATATGCCTGCAATCGTGCATTCAGCAACTAAGAGCCAAGCCTCCTTTGAGTTGTTGTGCACTGTAGTCTCCTCATTTGATTGTAAGTCAGGCCCAAGTAACCCTTCCCATTGGATGACGCGGAGTTCACATAGGGCCAGATCTCTCAGGGTGCCTTTTGAGAATAAATATAAACCATGTATGTATCTCTTTTATTAGAAAATATCGCTGCAAATGGAAATGAAATGATTGCCTCCAGAATACCTCAGTATTCGTTCTATGAAATAATTTGCTCTGTGGATAAATATATCTTACCTTAAATTAACATGTTAGTTTAGAAAGTAATTTATGATACTTTTAAGGTTCTTGGAACAGAGGGCTAATTGAAACCATACATAAGGCTTCCACTGTACATTTTGTAGACTATAATTGACATCTTCCCATTAGCTGCCAGGAAGTTCCCTTCAGCAGCACAAAACTGTATTCTCTCTTCTTCATTGGAAGAAATCAATATAGTTTGTTAAAATAATACAACTATCACTAGTATATGAATCACGTTCATATGAATGTTATAATTATAAATATTTAAGACATTAACATTATAACCTAAAATAGTCTTAAATTTAAAACATATAATGCAAATGAGAGCACTGTTTAAACTCTAAATATTTATTAAACTGTAAATTTGTTAATATTGTACCTCACTGGAATTACAAGGAGATAAATGGAAACTAGGGCTGATTTAAACTCTTCAAGAACAGTGCTTTCACATTAGCAAAACATCCTCCCCACCCAAACTTCTGCTTCTTGCTTGAACTTACTAGTGTCTCCAACACGGAAGCACAGCCACAGGTGCTTTACGGCAACACAAAGTGCTGTTCCTTCCAGACCTCACGGTAGCAGGCTTGCATCTTTATGGTTTGAATATACCATTTGTTCATTGTTCAAACGCTCTGTTTTTTGCACAACTACTCTGTATTTACATACAAACAAAAATAAGATTCAGTGTCCATCTGACAAGGGGGCGATGGGGAGACAGACATGAGTATACTCAAGGGCACGTGTACTCCAGTGTGTGCTGCTTTGGAAGGATATGAAGGGTGAGCAATTATGCCACGGGGGTGGGGACTCAGAAGACAGTTGATAAAAGAGCAAGATGAATGAGCTTGCAGGACCAGCAGGAATCGTGTATGAAAAGATCTGTGTGTTTGTGAATTGGAAAAGGTGCTAGAGATGAGTGGTAGCGTAGAAGAGTATTTCAAGCTGAGCGAAGAGCATAGGCAGTTCTCATATCTCTTCACACTTTTAAAATGCAATTCCTCGTGTAAAATGAATTAACATCTTTAGTGTTTCAACAGGTTTTAATGGGTGTCAAGAGGTAAAACATTTAAAATAAAATTAATGCATCCATTGCTTTTATAACCTCATGCCAATTATCTATATTAATGTCATCAAGAGTGTCATTTAATTAAAAATGAATTTCACTTTATTTTTGTGTGAAGGCACTCACTGGTTTGCTAAAGTCATCGAGAACATTCCCAATGCTGACATTACTCTAACATCTCCAATTGAATTGGGAGACATTTCTAAATTGGAAGAGCTCAAAACGTATTGTAAGAGAAGAATTATTCCAACACATTTGAACTACAACATGCTACCAATGGATATTAAACAAAAACAATGCAAGGTAAGTTCAATAAAGAAGGGCAGAAGCTTGGGAGTACCACAGAACTGAACTTGGATGCATGCTCTGCCACTTTCGAGCTGTGTGACCTTGGAAAATTGCTGATGCTCTCTGGGCTTTGGTTTCCTCATTTAATACAGGAATGACACAGTGTGGCAAAAATTAACACAATGCATGTATAGGTGTTACCATAGTATCTAGCTCATAAAAATTATTTTAATAATCTTTCAGTAATGAAAGAAATGTGAACTGTAATTACACTAGACAATGTCTTATTCTATTCTGAATCTGGTTTTAGTCGTTTTACTTTAAATATTGATGTCTAGGGAAAGAAAAACTGCCTTAATATTATTTTAATGATTTTATAAATCATTTTTGCAAGGGATTATATAGGAAAAGAATTTAAAAATTGTATATAAAACATGAAAGAATAGTACCTCAAACTATTTTTAAAATGCACACATTATTATTATTTTAAAAGTTAACTACAATTTAAAAGAATATTTTATATTTTCATATACCTCTTATTCAAATTTATGTTTTCATGGAGAAATCTTATGGAATAAGGTTAAGTAGAAAGCATGTTTTAAATACATATATTGGGTTGTCGGAAAAGTCATGATGTAATTTTTCTGTTTTTCCTTGCAAAAATGTGTCATGACTTTTCTGACAACCCAATATACTAAATAATCTCAATTTAGTTAACCTACACATATACATGCATAATAAAAAACTAGATGTAAATATGTTAACATGCTGAGTGGCTTCCTACCTGTGACATTAGGATTGGATTGTCTTTTCTTTACAAATGTCTGTAAAAGAAGTATTTTCAGATTTTCCTTTGATGAGAAAAAAAATAATAACATTTGAAAAGCAAAGGCAAGATACATGTGTCCACTGTTACAAGGTCTCGGTAATAAAGCCTCTTTAACCAGTCAGCCATATTCCAAAAATAAAAGCAAAAATAACTTACCAGTCACATGTTCAAAAGTCAAAGCAGATCTTCCTATAATTATATCCCTATGACCACAATGTCTCCACATGCACCATCTACTCTTCTCCAGAGAAAAGTTAACACAGTCAACCAGAGGCAAATGTCATAGAGTTTTGCCTTTCTCTCCAGTAAATCTATCAGAATAGGTGAAGGTGTACTAACTTGATTACAGTGTCACTCAACCGAGCATTTTCATTTCCAACAGACTGGCTGTAAGACAGAGAGATTTGGGGAAAAACAGGAGTCTGGTGAGCTCAATAATCCTTGTTCGAGGGTGGCAATAACATTTATAACAAATGGCTACCAGAGATTGAGCTGTGTTTTATAAACACATTACAAACATGATGACAGGAGTGGGTATTTTTCCTTTCATAAACAAGGAAACTGAAGCTCAGAAAGATTAGGGGGCTTTGTTAAGCCTCCACAACAAAGCTACAGCCTTAAGGTACAACCCTTTCAGCGTGACCCCTAATGGGGGCTGAGACTCTCTGGTTGTCCCTGGCCTGCGAAGGGGACAACCTGTCCTCTGGTGCTGATGGCCTACCCCTTCCTGTCTTTCCCCACCAGCTCTCAACTCGACTAGGCCTCCTATATTTTCTTCCTAATCTCTGTTTCTCCTTTTTTGTTTCCAAACTCTCTTATGTGAAATTTATGTTTTTCAGTTCATTTCATGATGTTTAGTTAATATTTAATTTTCCCCCCAGGGTACTATTCTACCTTGCCTTTATAGCCTTCAACCTTCCCCTAATATTTCTTATGATTTCTTAGAATGCATTATTTTATGTGTGGGTTTTTGAGTATAATTGACATATAATATTGTATTAGTTTTAGGTGTAGAATATAAGGATTCGATATTTGTATATGTTGTGAAATGATCAACACAATAAGTCTGCTTAACATCTGTCACCATACATAGTTATAGAATACGTTCTTTTAACCTTTTTTGGAAAAACGTGTATTAATTGTTTGCATTATCTTTTCCACTGGATAATATTGACATGTAATTTTGAGGGTTCTTCAAAGGCCCTGAAATATTCTTCTTTTTACCAAAAGAACCAAATTTCCAACTGGATGACTAAAAAGTCTGCCATTTTTATCCCTTTTTGTTAAGGCAGTAGATTTTTAAATTGTGTTCTCTGAGACTTGGGGTTCTGTGAACCTGCTCAGGTTGCCTAGCGCAGTTAGAAAAAGCCTGAGGTGCTGGGTTACTCCACATACACCTCTTGGAGTGAAGAGAGGATCATGGGGATGGGGGAAAGGTGACTTCATTCCTGTGCACAGTGGCCTTTACACATCTCTCAAGTAAAGGGAAGCAGGTACTGTTTGTGTGAGTCACGATAATACTGGTACTATGAACACACTATGTATTAAAAATGACTTGGTAACCACTTTCTTATCTAAGTAAAACGTGTCCATCCTGATTGTCAATTAAAAAGCAAGTAGGCCATCTGGTACTCAGGCAATGTTGACCATAATTGAAGAATAGTTCTATTATATCCAGCTTCTCACGCCAGTTTCTTAAAGTTTCTTATATTCTATTGTATATTGCACTCTCTACTTCTCTATTATAACTCTTATAGCCCTGCATTGTCAAGAGTGTCCCTCACCTGACTGCAAGTTTTGAGAGGGCTGGAACCATTTCTCTCTTGCTCATCATTATATTCCTTGGACCCGCAACATTGCACACTGCATGGTATAGAGTAGGTATTAAATAAATACTTACTGTATGCCTTAAATAAATAAATACCTACTGTATACCTAATTAAATTGCAGTTGCACTGTTCATGTAAATTGGGAGGGTATCTCAGATTCCTTACGCTTTTGGTGATTAAATTGTAGAAAAAGGAAATTCCAAAACATCATTCTTCTTATAAATAAGAACAGACAATTTATAAGACACCTTACTGTATGTTTTAAATCATGTTTTAAAACAAATGGACATTTAAAAGATAATCTCATCCTGCAAATGAATGGGGGTGTCTCATGTCTGACCCTAGGAAGATGGGACCAAATTTAGCACATAAATTGAAAAAGTGTGGTTGATGTGCTGGCAGTATCAGCATCCCCTGGAGCTCGTTAGAAATGCAGGGTGCCAGGCCTCATCCTGAACCCCCTGAATCAGAATGTGCATTTTAACAAGGCACCATGATGGTTCGTATACACACTAAGTTTTGCGAAACGCTGGCCTAAGTCTGTGTTTAAATCCAGCTGAAGCTGCCAAAAAATCATGACTTTTTTTTTTGCTGCTTTCTTTTAGGAAATGTTTTGTGTTGGAGCTATTTCCACCCAAAAATAAATTGATTTTTTTTTTGTCTAACAGATTATCTACATCATTAGGAATCCAAAAGACACAGCTGTTTCTCTGTTTCACTACTACAGAGATAACCCTAATCTCCCCGGCGTGGAAACCTGGGCTGCGTTTTTAGAGCTTTTCCTAAGAGGAAATGGTAAATATGACAATGATTTTTATTCATGATATACAGTGAGCCTTTCCACTCAAAATGAAAGCATTTTCAAAGAGTTTAAATGGATCCTAATGCTTACTTTCAGAAATACTTTTGAATAGATTATTCTTTTACTTTTCTAAGCAATTCTTTGCTTCTTCAGTCTTTCTTATCAACTATGGGTAGTACATATTACCATTTTCTTATTAAGTTAGTTTTAATGTTTTTAAAACAGATATTAATTCTGATCAAGCATCTCTTTTTTTCATATACCATCGGTCTTTTCAGTGAAGTAATTATGCACTGAGTACAGTGAGATATAGATGAAACCTAGACAGGTAGCATGAAACATGCTTTATATGTATACCTGCATGTAAAACAAAACAGCACAAGTAAACAACACCCCACCATACACACAAACACACACACACACACACACACACACACTCACTCACACAACCCTCAAATAAAACAAATGTAAAAGAATTAGCCATCTTGGCACTTGGTTTTATAAAAAACTAATAGAAAGTAATTTATCCTGAAAACACCACAATGATGCCTTATTTGATTGAGCTGAGTAGCACACATTGGTCCTGTTACCATGCATAACATTTACATTTTTCATTTTTTTCTGATTCAAGGGTGTCTGGAGCACTTAAAAAAAACTATTCTGAATTCCCAAGGTATATTCAACAAAAATAATATACCAAAACAATACAGAAATTAGAAGAGACATGATTTAGAAATGGTGTGTACCCAGAGGGTCTTGTCTCTTACGGGGCTTAGAGCAGATCTTAATTGCTAGCTTTAACTATTTTGCTTGTAAGTTGTTCAGCTTTTGCTTGTTAATTTAAAAGAGGCCACAGCAAGTGTAACCATATCATGAAGACACTGGGAACTCACCAGCAAGAGAGTTTAATACTTTGTTTTGCTATATCCCCTTTGGAAGATTAGGCTGTTCTCACACTATTTCAACTCCTCTATTTCCTTCTTATTTAATGGCACACATTTAATGGAATCATAAAGTTTCAGGAATAACAGGTACATTAAAGGTCACCTGGTTAAAACACCCACCTAATGTTCTAATCACCTTTGCAACATTTCCAAGACTTGTAGAGGCTAAGCTTGAACTTCTTAACTTTGACAACAGGTTCACACCCCACACGCCTGCCCCAAAGCAACACATTTCATATTGGTGCCACTAAATGTTAAAAAAAATAATTCTTACCATGTGATACATGCGCTTAGCTAAGGGCTATGCAAACATCATCTCTTTTCATTTTCGCTTGAACATGTGAGGTAGACGTTATTATCCTTATCTTACAGGTGAGGATAACGCAGACCTCGAGAGGCCAGACAACTTGTCCACAGATGTGTAACTAATAAGGAACAGCCAAGATTTAAATTCAGGGGTCAGCTCCAAAATCTTTGCTCTTACCACTGTACATAACTTATTCAGGCCCAAACCAAAAAAAAAAACACAAACAAACAAAAAAAACCAAACCAAAAAAACTGTCCCCCAATCATTAATTTCTCTTCCACATGTTAGCCTTCTAAATATTTGAAGACAGTTAACATGCCTCACTCTGCCTCAATTCCATTTTTGGAATAAGCAGAGGTTAAATACATAATTTTTTAAAAACAGACCTTGAGCCTGTTTTTTCTCAAGGAAAAAGAAGTCTCATTTGTCCCCATTATTACACACTGTGGTTCACCATTCCTCTCTCATTGCTGCATGAGCTCTAATTTGACCATATCTCTATCATTTTACAGTGCTTGGGAGACAAAACAGCCTCTGGGGATGGTCTGACTAGGGCAGGGTAGACTAGGCCTGTTACTGCTCCTGTTCTAGAGATTATTTTTCCATGAATGTAACCACAGAAAGGCCAACCCAGGCCATATGCAGGAAGCAAACTAGCCTTCATTACCACATTTTCAGGAATTGTAACAATATCTAGTAAGGGCAGAGTGTAGCTGGAAAAAATAACCCAGGTGATTCTCACCTTCTTTAGGTGAGTTAACAGATTTTTAATTGTAATGGGATTTGACTTGTAAGTATTCTACAGTTAGGTAATTCAGCCTTGAACTAAAATACCTGATAGAATAATAATTCTTCTTCACCTTCTCCCCCTCCCTCTCCCCATCCTTCCCCTTTTTCTTCTTGCAGGGGAGGAAGTTTGTAAACGTTTATGCTAAGAACTTATAATTATGAGAAGCTTGTCACTTTACAGGAACAAATGACATAGTTTCAATGCTTTTCTATTTCTCCCAATATCCAAAGTAGTTATCAAAACATAATTATTGGGAAAATGTGTATCACTGTATTTCTCTTGTCACTTCTCTTGATGATAAAAAAAATTACTAGAAATAAGAAAAAAACAGCACAGTCTTATTAAAAGATATAGCCATCCAGCTTTATTTCACAATATTGAATTTAGTTGAAACAATAGTGAAATCGAGCTCTTCTAAGGAAAACCTTTTCATTACAGAGTCTAATATACGTGCCCCTTACTTTGAAAACTGCTGAAATGCGAAGAACCCAGGGACCCAAAGCCATAATGTTTAATATTAACACAACAATTCACTTTTCTTCTAGTTGTATATGGATCCTGGTTTGATCATGTTTTAAGCTGGGAAAGCCACAAAAATGATAAAAACATTCTATTTATCTTCTATGAAGAAATGAAGAAAGTAAGTCCTTCCTAACATTTCAACAATCAAAATTTAAGTCAAATTAAGCTAATACAAGAAATCAATCAATGAATTCTGTTTTCAGGTTTCAGGGAATGAATTTAGTGTTTTGATGAGTAACACAAAATTTATTTGCTTATTGCTCAGGATTCTTCTAAAAGCATAAAGAAAATAACTAGTTTCCTCGATATTAATGTGAGTGACAACGAAATTAATCAGATTGCTTGGAAATCATCATTCAGGGAAATGAAAAATAATGCAGCCAAAGAAAACTGTGATCCAAATAAGACCATCTGTGTCCTGACATCTAACAAGAACCTGGTGTTTAGGAAAGGTAAGTCAGAAAGAGATGTGGTACTTTGCCTGGGCTTCTATTTGGAAGTAGTTCTATTTTCCCATTTTTAATCCTCATTTCACCATTGTGCACCCTATACTTCATACCACAGATTGCACATTGTCATTCCTAAGTGAATATTTATTAAATGAAATTCCTTAATTGTGTTCTTTCCAGATTTTGAAATTTCCATGTCCAGTTAGGAACCAATTGAGAGACAGACACAGGTGTCAAACAGATGGAATGATAAAGTTATTTGAAGAAGATTTCTTAGGTCTGCAGCCTAATGTGTTTGCTAAATTTTATAAACATGCTCTCAGCCACAGCCAATCAAATTCAGTCTTATCCCCCCACTGGGGCAGGTCACTTAGAACATGGTGGAGAGCGATACACAATATATTTTTGGGGGGAGAGAGAAAGGAGCCAATGAGTGTGGATGGTGCATTTTCCCAAATTCACCAATCTAATAATTTACCTGCAGAAGAAGTAAGGAAGGGGTGGGGAGAGAGCTGGGATTGTTATCTAAGGATATTCCTTTGCTTGGAAACACAGAGGAGGAAATAAATCTCCACTAATTCCTAACATGTAACTTAGAAGCAGCTTCAGTGTATCTGGGTATAGAATTGATTTGAAATTGATGTGAATTTTAATCAAGATCTGGAGGGAAAATGATTTAACATTTTTCACATTTTTCATAACTTTCAAAAACAAAATTTTCTGCATGTCTGTACTCAGGTTTTGTACTAGGAAATGAACATTTATTTTTACTCTTTGGCTCAAGTGAATATAATTCTCCCCAAAGCAAATCTTTGCCAATTCATATAGATCAGATATTATCTCAACTTTGCCAATTATTTTTGTTCTTTTTGGTGGTTCTTTTTTTATTTCCTTATAGTTGCAAAACCAAGGCTAGGAGGGAAAAGAGACATCAATTCAGCAAATATATATTAATAAACTATTTTGTAAGAACTAAGATTCAAAAATGGAATAAAGTACAGCCCTGTCCTTCAGAATGTTACAGTCCAAGCAATAATACAGGGTGATAACAACCTGTTAGTAGTAGGAGCAAATGTGAATAGCATCATAAATCAGAGAGATTTTTTTCCTAGCAAAGTAGGTGATGAGATTACATTGGATCTGGAACCGGAAGCATGAGCAGGATTTTACCAGGAAAATGACAGGGAAAAAATACATTTCAGCAAGAGCTAATAGCAGGAAGGAAAGCTCAGAACGGCCGTGGAATTGGATGGTAGTTTCATGTGCCAGAGCAGTGTAGGATGTGTGCAGCAGAATAAGGGAGATGAAGATTGAGGTCAGAGAGAGCAAAAGCTTTGATGGACATCATCAGGAGGTCTTTTTTTTTTCTTTTTTCTTCTTCCTTAGTGTGTTTACTGTTTTAGGAAGGGACCTGACATGATCAGACATGTGTGCTATAAAATAAGAGTCAAGTGGAAAATTGATTAGAAGAGAATAAAAGCAGAGGCAGAAATTCCAGTAAAGAGGTTATTGTAATAGTGCAGGTATGAAACATTGATGATTGTAAGTACTTTGGGCACTGAGTCACTGTTGGGTGGAGCTCAGCTGAGAAGGCAGTTTAGGAGCCATCCTCAGATTGTGGAATTTGGTAAAATTTTTCAGGGTAAGTGGGAAGGGCTAGTGGAGAAAAGGGACAGAAGAGGGAGCCCTGGGTCCCTAACATCAGTGGGAATGAAACAGGACGACAAGTGCGGGAGACCAGCTTCCGCAGGTCCAGGGGTTCCCAGGTGGAGGCGGAGTCATCGAGGAAAAAGGAAAAAACGCGCAGACACAGGAGTGCTTTTTCAAGAAGAGAAGTGCCTCACTTTATTCTTACAGCATGTCCCTTTTATACTGGGCAGTTGACCTTTTCCAGAGTTAAACTTTTGCCCTTTTGGAAGTTGTATTTCTCAGAATTTTTCTTCCTTCTGATGTTTCTGTTACAGGGTACAGCCTGACCTGTTCTATGCTAATGACTAATTTATCCTAACAATGTTTCAATTTCTACCTATAATGGCTTTGTGGCTGGAGCTAAGTTCCTGCCCTGGCGCCTAAAGGATGTTTACTACTTAGCAATTATTTCAAACACTAGTGGCTAAACAGGATCTTAAGAATTATAAGGTGCATAACTTGTCTATTATTAAGAAACTAACAGTAAAACAGAATTTTGTAATATGTCTAAAACTCACTTATTTGGTTAAAGTAAATAAAACAATCAATATAAGAAGGGGTGTCAGATCTTCATCCTACTGGGGGGCATCCAAAGGGGAATTAAAATTTTCCAAGACATAAAGCAGTGTCTGTTTCTCAGTCAGAGCTTCAGAATTTGTCACAATAGCAGTGTGCTAGGCCATGTCAGACACTGAGGCGCAGCCGGCTCCCAACAGACAAGCCAAGAAAAGAGACCAGACAGAGTTAGGAAGAAACTCAGGGTCAAAGAAGACCATGTAAAGCCCAGCCAAGTGGCTCAGTTGGTTAAGAGCTCGCTCGAGAGTGCGAGCTCTTAACCAACTGAGCCTCTTGGCTGAGCAACAGCGGTTCAAGTCCCAGCCTGAGCTGAGCTGCCGCTGAGCTGCCAACAGGTGGCAGGATGGCTGAGCTAAAAAACAAACAAACAAAAAAGATGACCATGTATTTATCATTAGTGAAATCAGAGAGTGGGGATGAAGTCAGGTTGAGGGATTTGAAGAGATGAGAAATAAAGGAGACAGCAGCAAATATGGACCACTCTTCTAAGAATTTTGATAGCGGAGGATAGGAACAAAATGATATGAGAGATTGAGAGAGAGGCAGGGTCAAGAAAAAGATTAGGAGGGCTGGGAGAAAGAAGATAAAGGGAAGACAGAAGGAGTTGAGAAAAGGACACGTGAAGGAAGGTGAAATGAGCAAAGGGGAGAGAAACAGAAAGAGATTGGTAGGGACCATGGTAAAGAGGATGATGAGAAATGAAGAAGTTCTGAGGCTTGGTGGACTCCAGTATTACGGTTAGCTTTTATCACTGCCCTTTGAAACCTGGCTAACAGATTCTCAGTATTCACATGTCTTATCCTACCAACTCTGACCTGCCATACTTGTGACCCTAGCAAATATTTCCAGGTGAAATCATATCAACACAGTTATAGCTGACAACATTAATTCTAATGCATTTAGGCTCTCTCTAAAAGTGATTTCTTTATATTGGATCTAACAAAGCACAGGTTAACAGAAACATCCTCACTTTTATCTCCTTTTGTTTATATGTATTTTCTCTAACCTACATATATAGCTGCTATATTATTTTTTAAAATATTTTTTTTTAAAGTGAAGGAAAGTCAGAGTGAAAAAATAAATCAGAAACCATGTAAACACATGTCAGGTGAAATGGAAGGAGACAGCAGTGGTTTAGGTGAGTAGACACCAGAAGCCTGAAGGGAGAACCAGGAAGGACCAAAGAATATTGACAAATAACATTAATAACATTAATATTGTTCTTGTAAGGGCCTCATGAAGCTGATCTTATGCCCCAATTGGTGTGTTTTAGGAGCAATGTCATTTCCTGACTCTGGGATCTTCCCTCTGGTACTTTCTCTCCCTGTCCCCCCTCTTTTTTTTTCCAAACAGAAAAGTTTTTTTTTTTTTACTCTGTCTTTTGGACTAGGAATCAACAACACCAAATATTTCTTAAGTTGTAATATGTTTCTTTGCTGTAAGTGGCATTGTCTGACATTCAATCAAACCATGGGTTTTATTGAGCACCCACTATTCCTGTCAGCACTGGAATACACAAGAACAATACATCACAGTCCCTAACCTGAAAGAGCTTACAAGCTAATTGGAAAGCAACTATAATAGAGAAAAATATAAGACAAGTCTGTAATGGAGGGATAAAATAATGCATTACTGGTTCCAGTGCAGCTAAACACCAGGGATGAAGCTTAGGGCCAGAAGTGGCAAAAAGCCCTGGTGGACAAGATCCAGGGGCCAGGTTTTGCATAGCGTGCACAATGGAGATGAGGAGGGCAGTCTTGAGGAATGGGCACTGCGGCCAAGGCTGCGAGGGTAGCTGGCATGGTCAGGTCAGGCTGATGGACTTTGTGAAGTACAGTTGACCCTTGAGCAACTTGGATTGAATTGCACGGGTCCACTTATATGCAGAAATTTTTCAATAAATGCTGTACATGTATTTTCTCTTCCTTATGGTTTTCTTAACATTTTCTTTTCTTCTAGCTTACTTCATTGAAAGAACACAGTATATAATACTTATAACGTACAATATATGTGTTAATTGACTGTTTATGTTATCAGTAAGGCTTCCAGTCAACAGTAGACTATTCGTAGGAGTCAAAAGTTATACGCAGATTTTCCATTGCGGGGGACGGGGGGGTCAGTGTTCCTCACCTCCACATGTTTCAAGGATCAGCTGTAAATATCTTATTTCAATTTCCAAATACCTTATATGGAAGGTGAAGACGTCATACAAGTAACTTGGTGATTATATTTTCAACTCTCCGTTATCAATATTGTAAAATAAATTTCCTTAAAATGAGACCAATAACCCACTCCTGTGATATGTTATTAGCACAGCTACTGCTGTGGAGGTACCCAGGCAGGGAAATAAATGAAGCATCATTATGTCTACTTTGTCTGCTGTATGTTTTAATTAAACTTAATTTAATTTAATTAAGTTTAGGTGAGATACTTTTTTTCCCCACCATCATAAAACCTAGGACATCTACATATTTTTTATCTTCCTTTCTTGTTAAGAAATAACTTTTAAAACTGTATAAATTAATAGGTAATGATTACTGAAGAAATTAGAAACAACAGATAAACAAATTAAGAAAAGAATAATTCTCCCATCATCTTTATCACCAAGAGATAAAATTGTTCACATTGTATTATAAATCTGACAGATTGCTTTTCTGAACACTATGCATTTAAATTGGTTCTTGTCTGATATATTTCCAATTTTTCCAGGAGCAGTGGGTGATTGGATAAACTACTTTACTTCAGAGCAGAAGAGAGTATTTGATGAACTATTCACAGAGAAAATGAAACACAGTGAACTTGCAAGACACTTTGAAGATTACTCTTAATATAAATGGAAAATGAAACCAATTTCCATTTTATGAGATACAGTACTTGTGGAATACATAAATATTTTTAATCAATGTGGAAAGCAGATATTTCTTTCCGTGAGAAATGGACACTTTATGAATGCGTCAAAAATGCCATGTGTGAGAGACTATTATTATCATAATTGGTAGTAGCAGAGAATTATTAATAAAATGAAGTATATAATTTTTCAGTGGCTGAATTATGTATCTGCATTGAGGCTATTCATAAGGCAAGGAGATTACTTCTATTCAGAGAACATATTACTGTGGGTGTTCTATAAACTGCATTAATGTACAACAAAAGAGGTGAGGGATTATCTAAAATGACCGATGTCTGAGAAGAATGTATTTTCTGCCTGTTTGGACCATCATGACGACTAGAAAAACATTTTTATTTCAACATTCCCTGAGGTCCATGCAGAAATATTCTCTAGTATCATAGCAATGACAAGTATAACCTTACTAAGGTGGAAACACCTAATAGGTAGATTATAACAAATGATCGCAATCTGGTATACTGGTGAAATGAAGAATGAAAAGATACCCTTTCACATTAAATAACACTGGTGTGGCATTCCAGTATTTCCTTTATCTTTAAGAAAGTCAGCTAAGTGACAAAATTTCTTATTTTCCAGTTTGGAAAAGTATAATTTTCCTGAAGCATTTATTATTTTTATAGTATTTTGAATATGTATTCTTTCTCTCAGTAGCATTTCTAGCATTAATCCAACTTGTGTAATTCTCTGTCTCTTATAATACATATTATTCTGTAGCTTTAGCCTACAGGACATTGTAGGCTATTTCAGTGAATTTACTTAGTTTAGGATTATTGCTTAAATGACAATATGCTGGTTACGAATATCTATGTCATATTGTTTACTTCTGTGCCATAATATCTAACTTAAGACTAATAGGAAGTCAAAATTGTATACTGTATATGACTCTGAGCTATGAAACCAAAGCAATGGGTTGAGTGAGTTAAATCAGCCAAATATCAATGTATTGAAAATCTTATTTTCAGTAACAAATCTGTTGGAGTCTTTTGCATCAACTTTATCACAATTCAGTCAGTATTAGATATTTATTAATCTTCTATATATACCTATTTGTTACAAATAAAATATATTCTTGTTGACATCATGCAATTCCAGTTGTAATTTATTTTTTTTTACAAAATTAGTATACACAGAGATTAAGACATTTCCCTTCCCCAAATATATGAGGTTAGTAAATGAGAAAGGCAATCAGGTGAGATCTTGGTCAAGTCCTCATCGTTGTGTTGGAGCATTTCAAAGCACACTTATCCTTTTCTGATATTGATGTGCAGAGACTGTCCAAGCTGTCAGAGTAAGGTGAAGGGGATGATGACTGTAGGGTTAAAGGCACCAAATCCTATGAGGCTATATTACCTTCTCACAAGGTTAAAATGATCATTGAGATGGAAAGAACTGAAATAAGACTTTATTTGATGACATCATAGTATTTTAGATCAGTAAGGTACCTTTGGGATTATTGAAATCCAGTTTTGATAGGAAATTGTTTAGGGTTAAATCTATAGGTTTAACCAAGAGCTTTAGTTCTCAGATTATCATCAGTCAGTTAAAAATATTTTACCCCTATTCATAGCAGCATTATTCACAATAGCCAAGAGGTGGGGATAACCCAAGTGTCCATCAATAGATTAAAAGATAAGCAAAATGTGGTATATACATACAATGGAATATTATTCAGCCTTAAAAAGGGAAGGAAATTCTGACACATGCTACAACATGAATGAACCTTGAGGACGTTATGCTAAGTGAAATAGGCCAATCACAAAAGAACAAATATCAGAGCTTTCCATTCATGTGAGATATCTATAGTAGTCAAATCCATAGAAACAGAAAGTAGAATGGTGGTTGCCAGGGCTGAGGGAAGGGGAAATAAGGAATTGTTGTTTAATGAGTATAACATTTCAGTTTTGCGAGATGAAGTTCTGGAGACTGGTTGTACAACAATGTGATTATACTTGATGTAGGTGAACTGTACAATTAAAAATTAAAGATGGGGGCCGGCCAAGTGGCTCAGTTGGTTAAAAGCTCATTCAGGAGTGCGAGCTCTGAGCAACAGGTGGCAGGATGGCTCAGCTAAAAATAAATAAATAAAAAATTAAAGATGGTAAAAATACATATATTTTTGAGCCCCTTCTATATGCCAGGCATTATTGTAGACTGTAGGGATGCAGGAACTTGAAAGAGTTGCTTTTCTCAAGATGCTTACATTCTACTGGGGGTAAATATGCCATTTTTTAATAAAGGAAATATCTGAGATACTTCAGGCATCTATCTGTATGTGCTATAAAGAAGATAACATCAAGTAATGTGGTACACATTAAAAAAGCTGCCTTAGCTGGGGCGTTGGGCCAAGGACCCTGAGGAGGTGACATAGGAGTTCCAATGCAAATGATGAGTGGGGCTCCCTGAGCTTGGAGGCATGACAAGAATTTCATGCTAGCTGGGGGATTACCAATAGCAGGGTGAGACATTCTGACAGACGCTTTCACAAGATCACTCTGACCACTAGATGAAGGATGAACCTAGGGGTCACAGGAGGCGACAGGGCTAAATGGCTATTACACTGGTATAGGTGGGAGAAGAGGGGCATGTGAACGGTGATGGTAGTGGTGGAAATGGCGAGATGTGGCCAATTTCAGGATATAACATGGATAGTGAGCCAGCTAACCTATTAACACAGAAGTGAGAGCAACAGAAGATGAAGCCTAGATTTTTGGCTAATCAATTGAAGTTTGAAGGTACCATTCTTAGATGTGAAGGCTTGAGAGTAGAATGATTTTGGTGGCAGGAAGGTGGGCTATGGATAAAGGCTTCTGCTATGGCCATGCTGTTTGAAATGTCTATTTAGACACCAGGTAATTGGTTGGGTAGAAGAATCTCTCTGATGACTGCTGTCTTGTTTCTTGGTGCCAAGTGGAAGGGTTCAAGAAAGTGGGGCGGTGTGGGAGGTCGCAGCACTTTAGGTTTATACAGCACCATGGCAATGAGCATGTGCATGATGACGGTAATTGCTGAGGAGGTGCAGCAGACTAATTACCTGGATATCCACACCCACCTGGTCTTTCCCCCTTTCAAAGGTAAGTTCTGGATCTTTCCCTCTGAACTCTGACCTGCAACATTGCTTTTTCATTTCCTTGGAACTGCAAAATGACTCATATGCATTTCCTCATCCAAAATGCATCCCACTGTTCCTCTAATGATTCCCCTGTGAGTTATTTTTCACTCTTCTTCCTTTTTCATTTCGCTGCCTTACCCCCTCCTCTCTGTAGTCAATAAGTAACTGCTAAATCCTAGTGATTCTTCTAAAGTCTCTTTAGGGGGCACTTTGTTTGTGCCTTGGGGCGTTTCACCCCATAAGTAGTTTAACATCAGCTCTATGAAAACATGCTCTAATTCTCCCTGTCACTCATCCCTGTTATTTTTTTTATTTCTCCCCCATTGGCTTTCCAGTGACTCTTCACTTATATTTTATTTCCCACACTTAACCATTCAGGCCTTGTATTTTTGTGTAAATGTCTGTCTTCTATTCCAGTTTGTAAGTTCTTGTCATTAGAGTCCATGTCCTATTCATTTTGCATCCTACACCATACCTAGCCCAGCACAGCACTCATAATAGACGCTTAACAAGTGTTGGCTGTGAATTGAGTTGATGAATCAGTTTAAATCTATGTCTTCCAGAAAACTCAGTTCTAATACTGTAACCCACTTTGATCCTATTTTTGTATTCTTCTATTACTTCATGTCTGCGTTAGTCAATTATTTTTAACCTAATCATATACTCCTTTCTATTACTTAACTGTTTCACATTATTATACAAGTCTTCTAAAAAAGATTTTTATTAAAATATAGCTAACATACAATATTATATTAGTTTCAGGTGTACACAATAGTTATTCAACATTTCTATATCTAAAGAAGTGATCACCATAAGTCTAGCAACCATCTGTCACTGTACTATGCTATCACAATATTATTGACTATATTTCCCACGCTGCATATTATATCCCCACCATTTATTTGTTTTATACCTGGAAATTTGAATCTATTATTCCCCTTCATCTTTACCTCCATTTAAAAAATTTTTCAATTACAGTTGATCTTTAATATTATTTTATATTAATTTCAGGTGTACAGCATAGTGGTTAGACAGTTATATAATTTAAAAAGTGATCCCCCTGACTAGTCTAGTACCCACCTGGCACTATACATAGTTATTACCACATTATTGACTATATTCTCTATGCTTTGCTTTACATCCCCATGACTGTTTTGTAACTACCAATTTGTATTTCTTAATGTCCTCACTTTTTTCACTGTCTCCCAACCCCCCATCTATCACAACAATAATTCTAGTACCCATCTAACACTATACATAGTTATTACAATATTATTGACTATATTTCTTGTACTATACCCTGCATCTCCATGACTACTTTGTAACAGCCAATTTGTACTTCTTAATCCCGTCTCATTTTTCACCCAATCCCAATCCCCCCTCCCATCTGGCAACCATCAAAATGTTCTCTGTACCTATAAGTTTGTTTCTGCTTTTAAAAAATTTTTTATTTTGTTCTTTAGATTCCACATATAAGCAAAATAATATTGCATCTGTCTCTCACTGTCTGACATACTTAACTCAGCAAAATACCCTCCAGGTCCACCCATGCCTCCGCAGATGGTAAGAACCCATTCCCTTCCAAGGCCAAGCAATCTTCCATTGTATATATGTACCACCTACTCTTTATCCATTCATCCACTGACAGACACCCAGGCTGCCGCCACATCTTGGCCATTGTATACAATGTTGTAATGAACATACGGATGCACAAGCACCCTAGAATTAGCATTTTGGGTTTCTTCAGATAATTACCCAAAAGTAGGATTATTGGGTCCTTCTTTGTCACTTAGTATACATAGCCTTGTTTTGAAGTCTATTTTGCCTAGTATTTTGCTATCACAGCTTGTTTGTTTGTTTCCATTTTCATGAACTATCTTTTTCCCATCCCTTTACTTTCCATTTGTGTGTATCTTTTGATCTGAAGTGAGTCTCTTGTAGGCAGAATATATAAGGGCCTTGTTTTCTTATCCATTCGGTCACTGTATCTTATGATTGAAGCATTTAATGCATTTACATTTAAATAATTGTTGATAGATACATAGTTATTGCATAATTATTATTATTATTATTATTATTATTATTATTATTATTATTACTTGCCTTAAAGAAGTGCCTCTAACATTCCACTGCTTTGGTGGAAGAATGCCTTTAGCTTTTTTTTGTCTGGGAAGCTTTGTCTGTCCTTCTATTATAAATGATAGCTTTGCTGGGTAGAGTAATTTTGGTTATAGGTCCTTGCTTTTCATCACTTTGAAAATGTCCTGACAATCTGTTCTGGCCTGCAAAGTTTCTGTTGAGAAATCAGCTGATAGTCTTATGAGAGCTCCCTTAAGAAACTAATTGCCCTTCTCTTGCTGCTTTAAAGATTTTCTCTCTGTCTTTAATCTTTGGCATTTTAATTATAATGTGTCTTAGTATGGGTTTCTTTGGGTTCATCTTGTTTGGGACTCTCTGCACTTCCTAGGCTTGTATATCTATTTCCTTTGCCATGTTAGTGAAGTTTTCCATCATTATTTCTTCAAATAGGTTTTCAATCCCTTGCTTTTTCTCTTCTCCTTCTGGTACCCTATGATGCGAATGTTGGTATGCTTGATATTGTCCCAGAGGCCCCTTAAACTTTCCTCATTTTTTTGGGGGGGGGATTCTCTTCTCTTTTTGCCATTCTGATTGGGTGTTTTCTGCTACCTTATCTTCTAAATTACTCATTCAGTCCTCTGCTTCATCTAATCTACTGTCAATTCCCTCTGATATATTCTTCATTTCAGTTATTGTAGTCTTTATTTCTGACTTGTTCATTTTTATGTTTTCTATCTCTTTGTTGAAGTTCTTCCTGAGATCATTGAGCAGATTTATAACCAGTGTTTGGAACTCTGCATCTGGTAGATTCCTT